GTTTCTGAAAGGAGGCTACAGAGAGAGCATCTTTCAATGAAAAATTCTGCAACAGGCAAAAGCCTAAAGCTCTTTGTGATCAGGAATGAGTTGGTCTGCATTGTAACTTAGTCCAAAATACGCTTCTTTGCTGAGCAGAGAGGACTCTTGCTGTGGCCAGTCATGGCAGGGCAATGTGCTTGAAAGCTGGGGTTTCTTATCTCTCCCACCTTGGCTACGAATCTGTATTTTCCCTTGGTTCTGGGCATGTTTTGCCTGCTCAGGCTTCTCCTTGTGGATATGCAGTCCAGTGAAAGCTCTTTCACCTTAGTTATCTGGAAGATTCATTTATCTACAAGAATGTCATGTTCCCTGCACACCCCATGCTAATCGAGCTCTCCACCTTGGAGAGGCCAGGATCTTTTTTGGGTTACTTCTTGCAACTTTGGGGGGTCTGCTCACAATTAGTCTTTTTTTCTTGCAAGCTGCTCACCACTCTGGCTTAAGGTGGCTTAGGATGCTCTGCCTCCAACTGAATTATCCTTGTTTTGGATGCAAGCCATTTGTTAGGAAATAGGAGCAATTCCAGGTTTGTCTCGTTTGCAGTCACAGTGTAGTGTGGCACAGCCATACCAGAGGTAACTTGGATACAGGTAGCACCCCAGCTGTGGCAGGAGGAAGCTTGTGCTTTGCTCTGCGCTCTGCAGGAAGACGGCTCTCAAACTGCTACTCTAACACTAGGTTTTGGGCTCATCTGGAGTCACTGCTGCGACTGCAGTGGCAACATATTGCAAGACACAGAGGACAGAAGCCTTCTATGCTTTTTTTGCCTAAAGAATGCTGCTTGGTACTACCCTTTTCTTGTCTTGCTGCAACCGCGTGCTCTTGTTGCCGTCTCTCTTCTGTGCTTTCCACCTTGCGTCCCAACCTCTCCTTCTATACTGCTCTGGTTGCATAGCCCTAATGATCAGAATCACATAACTCCTGGGCAGAATGTATGCCTGTGAAGGATCGGATTTTGACACTGGCTTCCTAGGTTCTGATATTATGACCCCCTGCCCAATCTGTTTTCCAAAAATAGAGAGTCGGTGAGGCCTGCCCTGAACCTGGTGGCAAAAGATAAGATGGGTTTTCCTAGATTAAGTAGAACAAGGATGAGTGTCAGAGCTTTCAAGCCATCACCGAACCCTTGCTTTGATAAAGAGATGGGGTTTGCAAGAAGATCTGAAGTGTTCCATGTTAGCGGTTTCTTTATTCCTCCCAGCGGTGATTCCTGTCACTTTGCTCAGGCTTCCGTGAAAGTTCTGGCTCTACTAATGAGGAGTCTCCTCCTCTCTGACCAGCATTTTCTTTGCTCCAGTGAAGCCAAGCTGCCATTGGAAGTCCATGGTTGCAGGGAAGAGGGGCTGTTTCAGCTACATCCAGTCCTGTTCAGGGATTTGCAGAGAGAAGAGCATTTGGTGTAGTCTGAAAACCAGTGCTAGATATGAGCAGTTCCCTTACCTGTTATAATGTGTCTATAGAAGCATGAAGCATAGTGCTCTGCTCTTAGATAGGGTGGTGACACCTGCATCCATCACAGCTAGCCTTGGTGATTATAGCCAAAAGCTACAACTGGTTTGGCATAGAGCTATCTTTTAGTTCAGCAGCTCAGGGCAACCAGGACTCCATCATCCCCCTTTTGCTGCTGTTTTTGCTGGCTCAAACATCTCAGGCTTTTGTCTTTCTCCGAGTGCTGTATGCAAATAGCCCAGACCTGTGACAGTGATCAGTGTCAACAGCCCTGTTCCAGTGTCGGTGTCACGCTTGTGTACAGGGCGGTTGGGGTGGTGCCGGTACTAAGGCGCATGGTTGGCAGCCTAGAGACCATAAACTCAAGGCCATTGCAGAAGTGCTCAACGTGCAGCCCTGGCAGATTGCGTGCAAATTGTTTGGGGCAATTATGAACTGAAACTGAATGTAGCGCTAATCCAGATGGGTGGATTGAAAGGCATAGATCAGGTTACAGGAACGTGTCTGAGAAGTAATGGCTACCTCATTAATAAGCACTTTGCTGCTCATATCCACATTCTCCCTCTTCCTTAAAGACTTGATAGCAAAGTGCCATAATAAGGCTTTCCGGACCCAGACTTATCTTTTCCAAAGCATATTACAACATGCTGACTAGTATGTTACGAAGCATTGCAAATAAAACTGGCTAGAAAGCCCATTTTATGGTGCTGTCTGTCTCTATCATCCATTTGCTGGCTGGTTCAGTAATTTGCAATGCATCAGCCCAGGAGCATGAAGTAGGGAGGTTTTCAGTTCAGGCAAGAAGTTAGGCCTGGTGTCAGATAGTATGCAACCCAAACACCTGTGAAGCTTTGCCATTTCATCTCTTAGCCCTATCCTGAAATGAAGTGATAGCTGTATAGTTTCTTGCCCTGCAAAATTAGCAGCTTGTGTTTGTGGAAGTTTTGTTTTCTGAGGCCATCTTGCCCTAAGGCACTTGATCCTGCCTATGTTACGCGGCTGTGAGATGTTTGGCTGAAACTGCTCCCTGTGCATCACAATGAATGGTGAGCAGGGCAGAAGTCCCAGGTTCAGCCTAAATTGGGGGGCTAGTCTGCAGGCGCGTCTACATGTGAAATTAATGACATAATAAGCTCTGGTGCGTATTGCACCAGTGTTTATTGCTCTCGGGCACCACATTTTACACGGGAGCCTGAGACTGCAGCACATTGAGCCGGGTTAAAGCAGCCCTGGCTGCCAGGGGGCCGTGAAGGCCAGCCTGCCGGCCCATGGGTGCTCTGACCCGGCTCATCATATTGCAGGGAGGCTGGCTGGGTTAGGAGGGGCGCTCCAGTACGGCGCTAGCTGGCAGGCATCCCCCGCACTGGAACACCCTGGTGCTCCAGCCAGCCATGTCAGCGTCTACACGTGTGTTGCTGTGCATTAAAGAAAACCGCTGTCAGATAGTACTTATGTTTACAAGTACTCATCTACGTTTCCTGCAGCCTAATAGGACTGCATGTGTAGACTCTAAGACTTTATACTGCAGAACTAATTAGGCAGCTCTACAGTAAGCCTCTCATGCAGATGCGCCTGCTATATGCTACCTCTGGAACCAGCAGCAGTACGACAGTCTTAGTGCAGAGCCGTACCCAGGCTAAGGTGTCTAGGCTGCTTCCTGCTCTGGAGGTAGGGTGGGTATCTGTACGATGCTGTACAAACATGTCCACAGTGTCTCTTCTTTGGGGGTTACTGGGGGTGCTAAATCCCCTGGCTTGCTGACTGACTTGTGAGTTTTATTCCCGCAGGGGCGACCTCACTCCAGACGAAGTGGTTCACCTCGTTAATCAGGGATTGCAGGATGCAGAACAGGATTTCCACATCAAAGCCAGGTCTATTCTATGCTGCATGCGCCATATGCCAAGTAATGTATTACAGCTCACCTGCTGCTCTGCTCCCTCTTTCTTGACCCTCTCTCTGGGTGCGTGAGAAATGCCTTGAATCTGGGCCCTTGTGGGAACTGCTAGAGTCCGTTCGGTTCTGGGCTTGGTGCTGGCTTGTTCTCATGGGAAGGCAGTAACTGTTTCCATTCTGGCCTGGAGGAGGCAGGCCGAGATGCAAGACTCTTCATACTCAGTCATTTCCAGCTCTTTATTCTCAGAGAAGCAAATCTGAGATCATCATTCCCCCGCACAACCCCTTCCTCCCATATTGGTGTCTAGCTACAAAACCCCTGGAGCAGAGTGATGCAAGGCAAGCTGTACACCGCTCCCAGCAGAACCTGCCAACACCCCCGTGTTAGCTGGAGGGTCTTGCTCATGAGTGACATGCAGCGCTCCGTTCCCCTCTGCCCCAGCGGCTGAGCTTGCTGCTTCCACATAGCACCTAGGCTCAGGAGTGGAAGGACCCAGCTAAGCTGAAGCACTCAGGCCAGGCAAAGCCTCTCTCGATAAGCCAAAGCACTTGCCCTCTCAGTTGGAGAGCAGCAATATCGTTAAGCATCAAACACTGGTTTGTTGCATCTCTGGCAGTCTACTCCCAGTCTTCAACCTGAAGACTGCTATTTATTCATTCTTGTTCACTTCCACTAGGAGAGATTTGAATCACAATTTGGTCATAGGGATAGGCACAATAACTGCACCTTTTTGCCAGGATGTTGCCGGGAGAGGCATCTGGGAAAGAGGCGGTGTCAGTGGAGGACAGCTTGCAGCTTATGGCAGTCTGGACTCTGAGAAATGTTCCACAAAGACCTTTAAGCCTGGCTGTGCACCGGGCACGTCTACATGAGGCTCTGACTGTGCAGCAGCTGGAAAATATCGCACAGTAGCGCATCACAGCACAGACAGTGCAAATATGATACTGCACAGTATTATTAGGCTACTGTGCAGTAGCATCACCTGGAAGATGTTCACTGGCACTACTGCACCGTAACTTCAGTTGATGCACATTTATTTAGTACTTGCTAATACAAGTACAACTACACAATAGCGTCTTATGTCGACGTGCCCAGTGTCCACAGATTTGCTCCATTGGGTTTAGTACCCTCTAGAGTAAAAGAGAAAGTGGAAAGGGTAGAAATATTGGGCTGGCTTGGCAAGGAGGAACTGGTAGATGCAAAAATCAGAGCCATTAAACATAGGGGTGTTACTTCCTCATTTAGGGTTCCTACAGTACCTGTAACAAAAGCAACAAAGTCCCTGTCCTACCCCCGGCCCCGTGCAGGCGCTGCCACTCACCGGCGCTGGTTCGTGGCACGGCCGCAGCGCCCACGAGCAGCAGCAGGAACCACAGCCGGGAGCCTGGCGCCACCTGTGCAGCAGCTGCCTGCGGCGCTTCCAGTCGTGCACAGACGTTGCAGGTGCTCCCGTGCAACAACGGGTGCGATGGGCCATGGCGCAGCCCGCAGGGCGCTGCAGGGTCACTGGTCACTGCGCGGTGCGGGGGGGCACGGGCCCAGACCCCCGCATTCCCGCTGCGGCGCGGCCCTGGCCATCAGATGCGGCGGACGAGGCTGAAGTTGGTGCCTTTTATTCCCGGTTCCTTTTTCAGAGCCGATCTACACCCAGTGCAAGCTTCTTATTCATAAATTGCACAGTCTAAAGACAGACAATCTCGTTAGCTATGCATATTCACTAATTCATGTGTCACATAATATCCTGCACGAAGTACAGAGCCCTAAATGAAGATCAGATTAGGATGGGATTATGGGGCAAAACACTTCTTAGGCCACCCCGGACTGTGTGTTGGTGCCACAAGGGGCCTGTCCCCAATGCCCCCGAGCAGAGTCCAGCCCAAAGCACCGTTTGGCTGCGAGAGGCCTCCTGCACACTAGGTACCCAGTACACTTGGCCTCTCTACACACCAGTGCACTTGGCAACTTCCCCTGTGCCCCACCCCACAGCCGACTTCAGAGCTACTTAGCAGCAAACAAATATGCAGTGGCTGGCTCTGCGCCC